CTTGTGAGGCACATCATCAAAAGCTTTGCTGAAGTCAAGGTTCATAACTTCACACTACTTTCCACTGTTAACTGCCTCATAAATCCCGGAATAAAATGAAAGCAGATTTATCAAACATGGGCGATCCTCTGTAAAACCAGGCTGTGAATCTTTGGTTAATCTACATTTTAAGCACCCCTGTCAAACACTTCGTTTAGCTCTGGAGACTCATTTTGGCTTCATTTTTTTCATTTTTAGTAACTTCATCTCTGGCAATCACTAAACTTATCAACTTGTCCTCTTCGCTACCAACATAGACGTATTCAGCTTCAGGCATAATGCTAAGTTCTTCTCTAGTAAAAACAGAGATAAAGTACCCATTGAGAAATAAATTAGTAGCATTTTAAATATCTGTTACTTGACCTGTCCCAGTTTTTTAAGGTCAACTCTCTTTTTTTCTCCCTACTCTTTTTTTTCCTGTACTGTTATTTCCCTTATTCTTTTTTTCCCTAATAATTTTTTCCCTAATCTTTTTTCCCCTAATCTTTATTCCCCTAATATTTTTCCCCTTATCTTTACGCAGAAGATGAGTCACGATAACGGGGCTGAAAATATGATGACCAAACCACAGATCGGAAAATTAGACGTTTCGGTCCATGTTAGACCATTATCAAGTCGTGTGCCCTCAAGCCTTCACACACGACCTGAATATGGTCCAGGGAGGACCGAAACGTTCTCGTTTCTCCGTCTTCCGATGGGAGGTTTGGTCAACATATCTTCCCTAATCTTTGTTTCGTACATCTGTAGAGAACCGTTAGGATTGGTCTTTGTATATGCCTACTCTGCTGTGCCTATTTCAGGGATTCTTAATGTTTTCTTATTTCTTTTGAAACGTTTCTTATTTGACAAATTGGTTTTCAAGATTGACTTTCCCATTCTTAATCCTTTTATACAAAGTCTTTTTTGTTACCTGTGAGGTTCTATGGTCCCATGGTTATTCATTTTAGGTCATTGCTATTCGTCCTTTTCAATTTATATAGTTTCTTCCTTCCTGGTCTTTGCTAAGACTATTTTTTAAGTATGCTGTAATTTCAAGGTACAGCGTATTCCGTAATCATGTCTCCCCTCTCCCTCCCTGTCGCAAGGTTCTCGTCACAAAATGGAAATGAATGGTCTAAATGAGGCCAAATTAGAGCATTAGTTGTTTATTTGCTAGCGTTTCTAGAAATAAATCCCGGATTCCTATTTGACTTATTCTGAACATTTATGGGCAGATTTTTTGACTTGGATACCTTTTGTCTTTTTCATATTATATCTACTTTTGAAAATGTGTGTGTGTGTGTGTGTGTGTGTGTGTGTGTGTGTGTGTGGGTGTGTGTGTGTGTGTGTGTGTGTGTGTGTGTGTGTGTGTGTGTGTGTGGGTGTGTGTGTGTGTGTGGGTGTGTGGGTGTGTGTGTGTGTGTGTGTGTGTACTCACCTAGTTGTGCTTGTGGGACTTGAGCTTTGGCTCTCTGGTCCCGCCTCTCAACCGTCAATCTACTGGTTACCTTGAGGTGCTTCCGGGGCTTAGCATCCCCACGGCCCGGTCGTCGACCAGGCCTCCTGGTTGCTGGACTGATCAACCAGGCTGTTGGACGCGGCTGCTCGCAGCCTGACGTATGAGTTACAGCCTGGTTGATCTACAGGCTGATCTGCTGTACAGATTCCTGAGCTTCTCGAGCTCTATCATATCTATATTTGAAAATGTGTATGGAGTCTGCCTTCACCACATCACTTTCTAGTACATTCCATTTGTTAAGTACTCTAACATTGAAAAAATCTTTCTAATGTCTCTGTTGCTCATTTGCTAGGTTCTCTGATGCTCAAGTTTCCACCTGTATCTCCTTTTTCGTGTTTTACCCATGCAGAATAATTTGTCTTTGTCCACCCTTTGAGGGAGCCGGTCGGCCGAGCGGACAGCACGCTGGACTTGTGATCCTGTGGTCCTGGGTTCGATCCCAGGCGCCGGCGAGAAACAATGGGCAGAGTTTCTTTCACCCTATGCCCCTGTTACCTAGCAGTAAAATAGGTACCTGGGTGTTAGTCAGCTGTCACGGGCTGCTTCCTGGGGGTGGAGGCCTGGTCGAGGACCGGGCCGCGGGGACACTAAAAGCCCCGAAATCATCTCAAGGTAACCCTGTCAATTCCACTGGTAATGTTGTAGGTGGTTATCATGTCTCCCATTACTCTTCTGTTTTCCAGAGACGTGAGCTTTATCTCCCGTAGCCTTTCCTCGTAGCTCATACTTCACAGTTCTGGGACTAATCTGGTGGCATACCTCTGAATCTTCTCTAACTTTAACTTGTGTTTAACTAGGTATGGACTCCAGGCTGAATTTGCATACTCCAAGGTCCTGGACGATTCCTTACGCAAGTTACTAAAGGCAGTTCTTATGTTGGCCAATCTAGCATATGCCGCTGATAATGTTTTTTTTTTTATGTGGGCTTCTGGGGACAGGCTAGGTGTGATATCAATCCCCAGATCTTTCTATTTGACTCTTGCAGGATTTCACATCTCTGATGGCACCTTGTATTCAGAATCAGCTGTCCCCTTCGCCTAATTTCATTACTTTACACTTTCCTGAGTTAAACTTTAGTAGTTAACTTTCCTGAGTTAAACTTTAACTTCATCTGTTTAATTCTTCTTTAGAATTTTTACATCATCAACAAACATTGAGAGGAAAGAGTCTATAAACTCTTTAAGATCGTTTACATATATTAGAAACAAGATGGGTCCAAGTACAGACCCCCTGTGGGACTCCGCTGTTGACATCTCGCCACTCTGATGTCTCCCTCCCCCCTTACAGTTACTCTCTGTTTCCTGTTGCTTAGACACTTCTTTATCCACTGGAGCACCTTACCTTTTACTCCTGCCTGTTTCTCAAACTGTTTTTAACAGCCTTTTATGGGGTACTGTGTCAAAGGCTTTCTGACAGTCCAAAAGAATGCAGTCTGCCGATCCTTTTCTTTCTTGCCTAATTTTTATCTCCTGGTCATAGAATTCTATTAAGCCATTGAGTCAGGATTTACCAACCCTGAACCCATGCTTGTGGGTTCAGGGGTGCTCTTTCCTTCCAGATGTTCTACGAGCCTTTTCCTCACGATCTTCTCCATCACCTAGTATGGGATACAAGTTAGGGAAGCTGGCCTGTATTGTGTGTGTGTGTGTATACTCACCTATTTGTACTCGTCTATTTGTACCTGCAGGATCGAGCTCTAGCTCTTAGACCCCGCTTTTCTCGCCGTTGGTTGTGTGTATTTACTGTTTGTGCCTGCAGAATCGAGCTATTAGGTGTGTGTTTTATCGCTATCTTTTCCCTTTAACGTGTTCCTACTTGAGAAGTATCTGGCAGTAACTTACAGGAAGACAACACATAATAGTGTCCCGGCGCTGTGGTGACAGAGGGAGGCGAGGGACGCGTGTTATCTCATTAATATCAGAATTATACCCCAGTTGACTCTTCCCCAGAGTAATCAACTCTCTGCCTCTATAATCAACTCTCTGCCTCAGTAATCAACTCTCATACATAGTAATCAACTCTTATACATAGTAATCAACTCTGTAGCTCAGTAATCAACTCTCTAGCTCAGTAATCAACTCTCTAGCTCAGTAATCAACTCTCTAGCTCAGTAATCAACTCTCTAGCTCAGTAATCAACTCTCTAGCTCAGTAATCAACTCTCTAGCTCAGTAATCAACTCTCTAGCTCAGTAATCAACTCTCTAGCTCAGTAATCAACTCTGCCTCAGAATAATCAACTCTCAAGCTCAGTAATCAACTCTCTGCCTCTGAGAGTTGACTACTGAGCTGAGCTATTAACCTTATAGGCCTCCATAATGTCACATAACCAGTTTTATAAATATTTACGAGGTCAAGATGAATGAGTGAGACCATTACGTCTCTCGCTCTTCCTAGCCTTCTTTTGTTGTTGTTGATCTTGCTTGCTTCTCCTTCCCTTCTCTTCCCTCTCTTCCTTTCCCTGCCCCCCCCCCCCAGTCTGTAATCCGTTATTCCTTTCTGCCAATCCCTCTTATTTCATTTTTCCCGGTCTCTTCCTCTCTCTCGCTTTCTTTATCTGCTCTGTCTGTCTGTCTCTCTCTGTCTCTCTCTGGTTCTCTCTGTCTCTCTCTGTCTCTCTCTCTGTCTCTCTCTCTGTCTCTCTCTCTGTCTCTCTCTCTCTCTCTTTCTCTCCTCTTCCTTTTTCGTTTCCTCACTCTCTTCCCATTTCTCTTCCATCTTTCCTTCTCCTCAGAACTCGCAATAAGAACAGACCACGTAACTCGCAATAACGGGGGGAAGAAAATTAGACAACCCTCCACCCCCACACTTTTGGAAAGAAAAGGAAGTGACAACGTTTCGGTCCGTGCTGGACCGTTACCAATTCGATAACGGTCCAGTACGGGCCGAAACGTCGTCATTTCCCTTGTCCCCAAATGTGTGTGTGTGTGTGTGTGTGTGTGTGTGTGTGTGTGTGTGTGTGTGTGTGTGTGTGTGAGGGGGGGAGGGTGTCTTAAATTTTCTCATTCTCTCTTCCTGTTCTCTTTCTTCGCCCTTCCTTCACATATCTCTTTCACACTTTCCTTCTCCCAACAACAAGAAATAAACAGATTTCTCCAAGCCCATCTCCTATCCCGTCGCATCTCGTCCCCCCCCCCCACCAACCCTCCTGTTCCGTGCCCCCCCCCCCCACCCCTCCCCTTTCCAGCCTGTGGGCGCTATACTCCGTGCCTTAGCCAAAGCCAATGCCGGGAAGAGAGGGGATCGGGACGCGGTGTGTTGGTCCAGCGTGATACTTGGTCAATTTCCCTCCCGTGATCGTGTCCGAATTTAAATATATATTATGGTGCGAGCCAGTCCAGTTTTGGGTATCTTGCGAGGAGGAACAGGAGAAGGAAGAGGAAGAGGAGGAGGAGGGAAAAGAGGTAGAGGAGGGAGAAGAAACACTGGGGGTTGTGGAAAAGGGATCAAGTGTGGATGGGACGGATGGAAAGGGATGTTGGACGTAAAACTGAGATTAAGGATGAGGATGATGGGCAGAATCAGGAGGAGGGCGATTATAAAGAAGAGGAAAGTTATGAGGATAAAAAGGAAGAGAACAAGGATAAGGTATGAGGAAGTGGGGAAGGGGGGGGAAGGGAAGATGATTTTGGGGAGGAGGATGAGGAGAAATAATATCAATTGGGGGGGGGTATGATAATGATGAGGAGTATTAGGGACATGAGGAACAGGAGGAGAAGGATGTGAAGGCGTAGGAGTAGGATGACGAGGAAGAGAGGGAGGAGGTGAGAGTAGGAATAATCACCGGAGTAGGAATAGAAGCTATAGGAGTAGAAATGGCAGCAGCAGCTCTCTGTCTCTGTTGTCATCTCTGTCGTTTGTCCCCTGTCATTCTGTCACTCCCTGTCTTAGCCCTTATCAGTTATTGTTTAATCTAAATTGTTATATTTCTGGGTTATCCACTGATATAAATTGTATATATCTAGATCTATGTATCTGTAATCTATAAATTCGAATGTGTATGGAGGATGGGAGGCCAAGTACATGGGAATAGCTTCTGCCGATTTTTCACGGTAATTGGCGTGGGGTACGTGCCCAACAGGGTCCTGTCGTTGCCATCACCAATCAAAACAGTAGTGCGTGTACCGGTCCCAAGGGGTACCACCTCTGGTGCAATTGTAGGGACCCACAGCCTCGAAGAGGAAAATAAAGGGTATTCAAAGATGATCTTGTGGATTCTCACTGAACTCCTTAATCTCTTCCTCTCCTACCACCCCTATTATTTTGTATTTATTTTGTTTTGTTTTATTTTATTACAATGCTACAATTTACAGAGAACACACACATATATAATAATATAACAGTGTTCGAAGATCTCGTCCAGCTCCTCGGAGGTTGGGTGCGTACCCAGGATACAGCACGCATTTCCCCTCTGACCTGCGACACTGAGGCGCTGGAACAGGAAACTGGCCGCTCTTGAATCTTTAGTTTTCCCAATGAGGTCCTCGCCCACCTCCTTTAAGAGAAGGTTTATATAATATGTGTATATATATATATATATATATATATATATATATATATATATATATATATATATATATATATAATATACATATTATATATATATATAATAGTGCCGGCGGGGAAGTGGTTCATATAGCCTCGGCTATCACTTCCTTATGTCCGGTCGTGATGGTCAAGCGGATTAAGGCGTCCCTGTACATACCAGTTGTGGGAGTATGGGTTCGAGTCACTTCTGGGGTGTGAGTTTTCAGTTGTATATAGTCCTGGGGACCATTCAGGCTTGTTTGCATTTGTGTTCCTCACGTGTGCCCCAAAGAATGAGGTGATTTGATAAAATGCTATGCCCAAGATTACCATCCGAGTGCCGGCGGGGAAGTGGTTCATATAGCCTCGGCTATCACTTCCTTATGTCCGGTCGTGATGGTCAAGCGGATTAAGGCGTCCCTGTACATACCAGTTGTGGGAGTATGGGTTCGAGTCACTTCTGGGGTGTGAGTTTTCAGTTGTATATAGTCCTGGGGACCATTCAGGCTTGTTTGCATTTGTGTTCCTCACGTGTGCCCCAAAGAATGAGGTGATTTGATAAAATGCTATGCCCAAGATTACCATCCGAGTGCCGGCGGGGAAGTGGTTCATATAGCCTCGGCTATCACTTCCTTATGTCCGGTCGTGATGGTCAAGCGGATTAAGGCGTCCCTGTACATACCAGTTGTGGGAGTATGGGTTCGAGTCACTTCTGGGGTGTGAGTTTTCAGTTGTATATAGTCCTGGGGACCATTCAGGCTTGTTTGCATATATATATATATATATATATATATATATATATATATATATATATATATATATATATATATATATATATATATATATATATATATTAGTATATTTTGGTACCAGTCTTTCTTATAAACATATATTATTAAATATGACCGAAAAAGTAAGATTAATAATTCTAACACGAATTTTCTCAATATTTCTTATGTTTCTTTTCACTGTCGATGGTAATTGAAAAATCAATTCTCCAAAATTCATTTTTATTTCTAGTCTGACGCGACACTTGAACGCGTTTCGTAATAACTTATTACATTTTCAAAGACTTTAGTTTACACACACACAGCTATAACCTGTAAACACTAAACAGAGTTCTATGATTTTTCAATTACCATCGACAGCGAAAAGAAACATAAGAAATATTGAGAAAATTCGTGTTAGAATTATTAATCTTACTTTTTTCGGTCATATTTAATAATATATATATTGAATTCCTGGCTAGCCTGTGCCGGCCAGAATGCGTATGCAGGCGGCCTTCACTACGGGCTACGAGGTGCCCCATGATGCGACACAGGATACATGCTGACAAAAGTGACACATACTGGCACAAGTAGTGCATACTAAGGGACATCATGAACACTGATACATGGGGTACACTCTGACTGGTGATACATAGTGGAACGTGAACATGCTTGCAAATGATGCATACTGACACCATTCTTCTACACGTGATGCACAGTGACACATTGTACATTAGTAAAAAAACATGCATAATGACACGAGTGATACATGCTGACACAGATGATACTGACACATGAGTCGTATTAATGTACTGATGCACGAGATATATGATGACACTGGATGAATTCCGAGACGTAATTCATAATGATACGTGATTCTTTCTTAAGTAACTGATACGAACTGATACACGTGATACATAATGAGGCACGTAATACATGCCGAGGTGCTTGATACACGCTGAAACACGTGATCCATGTGTTACTAACACATGATACAAGGTTGGGGGAGAGAGAGAGAGAGAGAGAGAGGGAGAGAAGGCTTTAGGATACAGGCATCGCCGGGAATCTCATCAACCATAAATTTATGAATATGAATGTGTGTCTGTTCGATGTTTGAGGCCAGACACTAGGGACTAGCCTCAGTCAATTTTTCACAGTAATAGCTTTTAGGCATGTGCATAACATGGGCGGGTCGAGGTTGGCATCATTGAAACGAATATCACAAGACACAATGACAAACTGACCCGCATGGTGAATCCTCCTATAACATTCTGGCTCAATATTGAATGACGTTATGTTTTCCCTATGACTTTCTTTTCATTTGTACATATTATTGCAGGCTCAGAGGGAGTGAGATAGACCTGGGGGGAGTCAACCAAAGAGAGACCGCCAGACCCAGGCATAACTGAGTTCCCTTTACAGTTGTACACACACACACACACACACACACACACACACACACACACACACACACACACACACACACACACACACTAGGAGAGGTATCCATCTGTACCCTCGTCTCTGCCCCCCCCCTTTCCCCTATACTTCCCCCTTCCCACTCTCACCCTCTCGTTTCTCTTTCCTTATCCCTCTAACCTCTTACTCCATCATCTCTCATGTCATCTCTTGCCCTATACCCCTGACCACTCACCCTACAAAGTTGGGTGAGGCTAAGCCCAAGCGTCTGGCCTCCAGCGTTGAACAGACATTCAGACATTTGTTTTTATAAACACAGATCAATGGTGCTCTTCTATCACTTTTTTGTCTATATACAACATTTTCAAAGACAGTTAAGGAACAATCCATATCCCTCGTCGTAGTGTTTTTGCCACTTTCGTTCAGCACTCAACACCTCACTAGTTACAACTTGTGTCGGCACATAACGCTTCACTTACCCCTCTGGGCCAGGTAAGTCCACTACGGGCTCACCATAGCCCGTGCTACTTTGAACTTTTTGTTCCGAGTAGCTGAATCTAAAACAACAGGATCACTTACAACCAGTTATGCAGTCACCTGTATCATTAGAGGTGACTGCATAATCGCAATTATGTCACCTTTCTCAGTGGACGTTATATCGTAATAGAAGAAGAGAAGCTTTGTTTAGTTATTTGATACCTGATGGGATAGGTAGGACAGGAGGGGACGCAGGGCTACATGGATCAGGAAAGGAGGAGGAGGAACAAGATTGGAGTAGGACGAGGAGGAAGGTTGGAGAGAAATGATTGGAAAATGGGGAGGTATAGGAACACAAAGAGAAGAAAAACGAGCGGGGATTAACGAAGGAGGTACAGGTGGAAGAGGAGAGGGGTAGGGAGCATGTGGAAAAAGGAGTTGAGACCAGAGAAGGAGGAGGAAGGAAAATTGACAATATTTCGAGAAAAGAATAGTTGCAACAAGGGAAATGAAATCGATTAATATTTGGAAGAACGAGCAATACCGATTAACCATCTTTGAACCACCATAAGTTCATTCACGTTAAAACATATTTGTACCATACATTAACACAGCTTTTCTAGAAGCACATGTTTTCTAAACATTAACCCATACAGTCCAAACCTAACACACTTGTACACATATTATTGGATACGGTCGAGGGCAATACTATACACTTTCACAAACAAAATATAAACTTCCAAATATCAAATGAAAAATGAAGTCACTCGAATGCAAATTTTGTATATATTTACGAACACTGTAATGTTTAGGGATGTAAAGAATTTTTTTGTTTGTATATTATCGCAATTCAGTGTTTACATATGTAAACAAATAAAATGATGCAATGTTTATATTTATGGCCTAAAACAAGAATTCTGTGATGGCATGTGTGTATTACATGAGTAATAAAAAATGTAATATATATATATATATATATATAATATATATATATATATATATATATATATATATATATATATATATATATATTATATATAATATATATATATAATATATAATAGGAGGGGTACCACCTCTGGTGCAAGTGTAGGGACCCATAGCTTCGGAAAAGGAAATAAAGAGTACTCAGAGAAGACCTTGTGGATCCTCACTGAACACTTTGATATTTTCTTCTCCTACCACCCCTATTCTTTTGGTGTGTGTGTATATATATTTAACTTTATTTGAAAATGTCATCACACAAGGAGGGGTTACAACATTGGTTACGTGCAGGGTACAAGGTTACTTGTCACAGGTTGTAGAGCTCCTCCAGCTCCTCAGATTGCAGGCAGGAACCTTTCCTCTCTGGATCGCCACACTAAGGCGCTGAAAGAGAAAACTGGCAGCTCTAGGATC